AGTCTGCTCAGGCCCCGCCTTGGGCCACAGCTTTGTCACCCCCACCACTCAGCTCTAAGCTATCTGTGTTCTCTATGAAGAAAAAAATGTGGAAAGAAGAAAAAGAACAAAAGATCTGTGAAAATTAAGAGTTAAAAAACACTGGGCAATTGCAAGGCTTCGAATCACAGCAGCTCCTGTTCTCCAGTTCTCATCCGGCCCTGCTCGTGTCCTGGGCAGACCTGGGAGGGCAGTGGTGCCTTGGAGGAGGAAGTGAGTTCTGGGGACCTCCCTGCCTGACTGAGGCTCAGGTGGTGCAGAGGTGCAGACGTGGAAACCCAGCTACCACGTGCCTCAGGGCCTGCCTAGTTAAACACTGCTTGCAGGTTCACCGTGCCCTGCCGTGGCTACCGTGAGGCCCAGAGTAAAACCTGGAATCAGGGTACATCTGCTCTCCTGGCACAGAAAGACGGACTGAATGCTGGAGAGTCCCAGTGCAAGACAAGGTCAGAAAAGCTTGTCCTGGCTGATACCTAGGCTGTTTTCCAAGGGTACCACTTGCTTTGTGTCATGGCAAAGACTTAAAAATAGAAACCAGTTAGGAGACTGCGGTTCCCCCCAGGAAAAGAAATCTACCTTTATCCAGGCAATGGGAAGACAAACAGAGGAGGAAGCAGATTCAAGGGACTTCAGAGGGTGTGGCAACAATAACTGGATTGGGCAGGGGTAGTCACCTGAGCAGCATCTGTCCTGTCCTCAGCACCACCCTAAAGCTTTTGTCCCGGACTCTTTAGACCCCTCTGGGGGTTGCACATTCTGTTCTGCCGGGTTAACCGCGAACATGCCTTTCTGCCTCATTTATGTGCAGTGTCATTTGGCCCTGGCTCCTAGCTCTCCCTCAGTTCTGAGAAGCAGCTGCTATTTGTGCACCGATCATCTGTCACTGTGACTTGATGATTAAGTTGGTCTCACGGGTGACTTTGTGGCATGAACTGGTCTCCACCGCCATTTTCTCCATTAATTCTAATTTAAAATGCTTAACTGAATTTGAAACCTGTCTCTTCCAAACCTGTTTCTCTTGAGTTCACAAAATCCTTGTCTTCCAAGATTCCCAAGCCAGAAACCAGCGAATCCCTGGGAATCGTCTCTCCTTCTGGGCGTCCCAAACTCAATCCAGTTACTGTAGACAAATTCCCTGGAATCCACTTCCTGTCTCAGCTTGTCTTAACCATTGCTGATAAGTTTAGATTTCTTTTCCTGGGGGTAATCACAATCTCCTAGCTGGTTCCTATTTTTCAAACTATTTTAAACTTTTAAAATCTGGTTCCTATTTTTAAAACTCATGCTCTTCTGTCTATCCTCACATGTCAAAGTAATCTTCTAAAAACAAATCTGACCATTGCATTCCTTTGCTGGAATTCTTTTGTGGAACTTTTAGTTCTCAGAGCACAAATCTAATTAATCTCTTTGAGTTAATATCTGCCCTTGAAATGAGCTTTGTCTCTCTCTGTAATTCAACTGTGTGTTCTGTTAGGTAATTTTTTTCTCCAAACACAGAGGTCTTCACACTGGTTTTCTATTCTCCCTACTTCTCTACCATTAATGTCTTAAAACTCAGTTTGATTGTTGTGATGTGTTTCTGGATTAGTCATATTTTGATATTTTTATATTTAAGGCCAGGCTGTGATCCAGTTTGGGGCAACAAGAATCCATGTCTGGGAACTTTATCTTGAAAGAATGAGAAAGCCCATATGTTGCCCTTCAGGGCAAAGTGTCACAAAGATGTGAACCTGGGACAGAATGAAATAAAAATTAGAGGGCAGCAAAGAGCATGAGAGGCCATGGGAACCAAGTCTCACGTCCAGAATCGTGGTGAATTCTGGTCCTTTCCAGTTATTAGCCGGGTAAGTTCACACCCACCCTCTTTTGTGGTGCTGGAAAGTAAAGCCAGGCCATCAAGCAGGCTAAGCGCTCTGCCAGCGAGCTGCAGCCCCCGCTCTTCTACTTTTGTTCCTACTTAGCTTAGATTAACATATCTTTTATCGCTTAAGGACAAGAGTCCATTCGAGAGAATTGCAACACAATTAAAGATTTAACATTACACACTTGGTCTCTACTACAAGTTCGGCACCAGCTACCCATAATACACATTTGACGTGGCTCTCGTGGGACAGCTACTGGTTTGTGCTGTATCTGTGTTAACATGTGTGCAAGTATTATAAGGGCAGTTCAGATCACACGGATTTGCACTGGGTGTGGACAGACCGAAAGTGTAAGCACTTTAAAACACTTATTTGTAATCAACTCAGTCCATACAGTGCAAGTGGGACCTTTCCCAACAAGGACATTAGAGCCTCTAGGGTAGGCAGACAAGCATCAGCACTATCTAAAATCTTCCTTGGTTTTTACTGTTAGCAGGGACTGAGAAGTATTTATCCAACCTGGACTCGGTCTCTGTTCCTTGAGGAGCTCAGGCTGGCAGCACCTGGCTTCCTTTGCCCTCTTTTCCTCAATGCAGTTTTCCCCGCAGTGAGCAGAGCGTGAGAGATAAAGTTGCTGGCTTTCTTGCTGTTCTGTAGTTGTGATTAATTTCTGCAGAACTGGCAAGGGACGTATGATTGGGCTTTGCCTACCCTCAATTCTTAAAGTAATAATGTGGTTTAATTCAATCTCTGAATTAAGTTACTCTGAATTATCTTGCCTGGACTAATATTTTCTCAGACTTAGGTTAATAGGAGCTTCTTGCAGAAGGTGACTCCAGAAGAGAACTTTCAGCAGTAAAACAGGTGCAAAGGAAAACCCTGGATAGTGCTTTAAAGCAAGAGCAGCTTATATCCTGAGGAGTTTAATTTAGATGTGGATATGCATTTCACTCTTTTCCCCAAAAGCTCACCAGTATTCCTATCCTAAAAGCAATTTCTGTCTCAGATTTAAAGTGTATTTACTTTTTGATGACATGTTTAAAAGCAGATGATATATTTCAGATCATTTTTCTATTTTTTCCCCTTAAGTTTTTTTTTTTTTTTTGTACTGGGATCAAACTCACTTGCCAGGCAGGCGCTTATGCCACTGAGCTAAATCCACAGTCTTTCCCTTTAGTTCTTGATTTATAACATCTGTCTTTAGGTATTTTACACATGTGTATTTATTTTGTTTTATGTTAATTGTAAGAACATTTAAATAAAGCCACAAAAAATAATAGCCAGAAAGAAAGAGTTAAAACAATGGAGAAATTAATTAGAGTTGCTGAATCAGTTAATCATACAAGCATTTAACAGAATGTCTTCTTTGTGCCTGGCACTGCCCTAAGCCTGAGAGGGGGTACAGTCTTGATTGTTTGCAACTTAAAATCTAACTGGAGGGATAAGACACAGGAAACTTCAATAGGCTCACAAGGTGGGAGTCACTAAATGCCAGGCTGAATGGTGGTGACATGAGTACACAGCTCAGAGAAGAGAGACATAAAAAATAAACTTCCCAAGATGTGAACCGAGAGAGACAGTTCAGTCTTTCTCTGTAGGCTTTAAAGCCCTGCATTTGGATTTTCATCTCGTATTTACTACAAGACTCAAATCTGAAGCAAATTCCTTGGTCATCAACTTCTTGTTTTTACAACCCACCACTCTTTAGGTAATTGCTACCTTAAATAAAAGAAAGATGAAAGGAAACAAGGAGATACATCTTCTGCCAGTGGGGAGGAGACCAAGAGATGGAGGCGGGGGAGCGAAAAGATTGAAGATGCCTTGCTGGTGTCACCTGCCTGTCCCGACAGCAGGGAGCGTTAGGGTGGCAAACAGGCACCGATGCAAAATTATTTCCTTAGAACTAAGCTGATTCTCCTTCAGAATATTTCCCAAATATAAAATGTGTTGGTTATATGTTTTCAAATTTGGATTGAATTTTATGTGTCTTAATTTCTTATCTCAGACTAGAAGAGAGTGTGAGATCAAAAGTGAAACCTTGATTCCTGGTCTGGCTGAGGCTCAGATGGAGTCTTCGGAGAACATCTAATTCTTCTAGCCTGAGGCTCTCACGAGCTCACGACAAGTAGCCGGCCCTGTGCTGTCCCAGTCATTTGTGAGGTGTATTTCAGTTTGTGTACTAGGATGGTGCAGTTGGTGGTACAGATGGGAAGGGTGGCATGGGGATAAATCACACGTACCTAGCATGCAAGGTGTGCGTGTGCTTGCTGAGGGTGTGGGGAGGGGTCTTAAAGAGAAACATCATCCCAGGAGTTTCGGTAGAAATTAAACAGGAACAAAATGTGTTCCCTAGTATAAGGACAGAAATATTTCTTACTGGTTTCATTTTTCCTGAGAAGTGTTTTTTTTTTTTTATTTTTAAATTTTTTTCCTTTTTGGTCTGAGTCTCAAATTCACTTTTTGGTGGCTATTCAAAATAGTTTTCTTTTTCAACCAGCCCCTTGACTTCCAATTCCATTAGACCTTCTCTTCCCGGGGCACCCAGCTCTTATAATAATAAAAACATCACCCGTGTTGCCCTGGATGGTTAATACCACCACCCGGTGGTAAATCTCTGGGCGCTCTCTACGTTACTTTAAAGCTTGTCTCTTTATTTTCATTGTCTTTGGCATTTTATTCAGCTTCTCATGTGAGAATCGACTCCTATTCCGCTGTGTCCAATAAATACTAAAATATCTGCCAACTAATTACACTTCCAGCCCTCCAGGCTCAGGGGCTTTGGGGTTTCTCAAATTGCTTTTGATTTGGAGAAAGGCCCTTTCTTCCTTTAATGTTTCCTCTGCAATTATTTCATGACTCAACATTCATAGAAACTTAAACTTCAGAGGAGCAAGTCGCCTCCGCCTAAGTCTAATTAAACTCCGTATTTCCCAAGAAAAGTTGGGAGATTAAGTACACAGGGAGGCCAGAGTCTTTTCTTCCAAATCCAGCTTAACAACAAAACTTTGAAATGTTAAACCAGTGCTAATCTGCATGGCCGCTTTAGGTGTCATTTGAGAAAGAATCATGGCTCCTAACATGATCAGTAAAATACGCAGATCCATTTCCATGTTCAGAGCCCTGTGGGACGGAGGAGGCAGATTTAAGGTAGCACGTGCTCATGTGTTTTCCAGATGCCAGCCTCTCAACGGCACCCCTGTCGGGGCAGACCTGCGGGAGAACCATTTTCTCTGAATTTCAGCTAGATGGGTGCTGTGGAGATCCTGAGACTGGAGAAGAGGAGACTCGAATTCACAGACATTAAGCTTGTGAATGGAAGAAGGAAACAAGGGATGGTGACCACACTGGGATGATCCCACATGTATCCTGTGTGACACAGCTGTCATTAAAGCAGATCCTGGAGGCAGGTTTGTGCGTACTTGTAGGGAGCCGAGTGACAGGCACTGCTGCCTAGATGTCTCTCTCTCTCTCTCCTATGGGCACTGCGTCTGCCTACATTAACCATAATCCTCTTCTGCTTACGTCACTTATCCAGATGTGATGGTAACCCTGTTGTATTCATCTGTTTAACCTCTTCCTGTCCCAGCTCCCGCCCTTAGCCTATAAAAGGTGTGATTATTTTCTCAATAAACCAGAGGCTTGATTGGGTTAACATCAACTTGCCTTCGTCTCTTTTTGTCTCCCCTATGTCTTTTGTTTAATCCCCGTTTCTCCTCCAGGAGTTCTAAACTTGTTGATCTACAGGCCAGATCAAGTGGCGCTCAGTGTGGGAGCCCCTGGCACGGAGAAGTTAACGAGGGAGCCGTTCGAGAGACAGCCGGCTTAAACCAAAAGTAAAAGCAAATTAAACCAGAGACCTCGGCCGAGGAATGAGTAAACTAAATCAAGGATTAAAGTTTAAAGCAACAGGACATTAAATCAAGTGCCGAGACCTGCGCAGACGACTACCCGACGTCCTGCCCGAGTCACGGTGAGTGAACGGCAACCCCATTTCCCTTTCCCGACATGGGTCAAGTATTGAGCGAACATGAACTGTTCGTCGGAGGCCTTATAAAGGCATTAAAGACAAGAGAGATAAGGGTTGAAAAACAAGAATTATTACAGTATTTTCAGTTTATTCATAAGGTTTGCCCTTGGTTCCCCCTAGAGGGTTCTATAGATACCAAGAGGTGGAATACAGTAAGAGATGTTTTAAAAGATTATTATAGAGTTTTCGGTCCAAAAAAGGTTCCTGTGACCACCTTTACATATTGGAATTTAATTTCTGAGCTACTTGCCCAGAGGCATGCAGACCCTCAGGTTGAGGAGACAGTTGCACTGGGTGAGGCTGCCTTGCGCGACTCCCTTAAATCTACCTCAAAACCGTCCTCAAAAAAATCTGAAGCCTCTGATTTCTCAGATGCAGAAAATGATGGCCTGTTAGAGGTCCTTATACATGGTGATCTGCCACCACTTCCACCTGTTGACATGATCAGCAGGTCCCAAGATGGCAGCCCGCTACTCCCTGTGCCTCCATGGCAAATTGGGGATTCATATAAGCCTTTAGAAACAACCTTAACTCTGAAAAGCTTACAGCCACAAGGCAGCTGGTGCAGGACCAGTTAGATACAGGACACATTGTTCCTAATAATTCCCCTTGGAACACACCTATCTTTGTTATCCAAAAAAGGTCAGAAAAGTAGAGGCTGCTACAAGACCTTAGGGCGATAAATAAGACAATGGTCTTAATGGGGCCCCTACAACCAGGCCTCCCCTCAGTCAGTGCCATTCCTTTAGGATTTTTTAAAATTGTCATAGATCTTAAAGATTGCTTTTTCTCTATTCCTTTACATCCAAAGGACCAAAAGCGTTTTGCCTTCAGTCTCCCATCAATTAATTTTAAAGCCCCTATACAGAGATTTCAATAGAGGGTTTTGCCACAAGATATGGCCAACTCCCCAACACTATGCCAGTCTTTTATAGCCACTACAATACAGTCAGTCAGAGATCATTGGCCACATATCTATATTATTCATTACATGGACGATATCCTCTTGGCAAGAGATGATCAAAACCAAACCCTAAGGTGCTACCAAGACTTACAGGTTGCCTTACAAGAGGCTGGACTTCAAATAGCCCCTGATAAAGTACAGCTTACTGATCCATATACTTACTTGGGTTTTCAATTATGTGGCACTCAAATACTCTCTGTAAGGCCCCAACTGAGGCTTGATGGCCTCAGAACACTTCATGACTTCCAAAAACTATTGGGAGATATTAATTGGCTCATACCATTTTTAAAACTAACTAAACATGATTTACAGCCCCTTTATGCACTGCTTCGGGGAGACATAGATCCAACTTCCCCCCGAGAGCTTACACCTGATGCCAGGAGAGCGCTCAGTAAAGTAAAAGAGGCTATTGCTCAACAAACTGTTTCCTTTATGGACTACAATGAGCCTTTACAGTTTCTCATTTTTAATACAAAGCTTTGCCCTACAACAGTGTTCTGACAACAAGCTCCCCTCATGTGGGTCCATTTACCAGTCTCTCCAAAAAAAAACACTTTTGCCTTATTTCCAAGCTGTCTCAAACCTAATAATCCAGGGTAAAAAACAGGAAAAATGTTACTTTGGCAAAAAACCAGATATTATCATTCAACCTTTTACAAAAGACCAAATAGATTGGCTACTTCAGAGTATGAAAGTGTGGCCTATTGCCTTAGCTTCCTACTCAGGGACTATTGACAATCATTACCCTCCAAATAAGCTAGTTGACTTTGCTAATCGTCACTCATTTATATTCCCTAAAGTCACAGCTTCACAACCCCTTCCGGGTGCCCTGGTTTTATTCACTGATGGCTCATCCTCTAAAAGAGCTGCTTATGTATCTCAAGACAATGTTTCTACCCTCCAGGCAGATACTTCCTCTGCACAATTAGCAGAGTTAGAAGCTATTCTTGCAGCTTTTGCTGCTTACTCTGACCAACCATTTAATTTGTATACTGACAGTGCTTACCTTGCTCAGTCTGTTCCATTATTAGAGACTGTTGCTATTATATGTCATGCTTCCCCAGCTGCAAATCTGTTCAAACAATTACAATGCTTCATACGGCTTCGCCGTCATAAGTTCTTTATCGGTCATCTGCGAGCTCATTCCAACCTCCCAGGGCCTCTTGCCCAAGGAAATCATTTGGCTGATGTTGCTATATGAGCACAGGTTTTTATGGCTCAAGACTCCAAGGTGTCTGAGGCCCAACAAGCCCACCAGCTACATCACCTCAATGCTCACACCCTCCGCCTTCTCTACAAAATTACCCGTGAGCAAGCCAGACAAATTATAAAAAATTGCCCATCTTGTGCTATCCACTCACCTGTTCAACACCTAGGAGTCAACCCTAGAGGTTTAATTCCTAACGCCTTATGGCAAATGGATGTTACCCATTTCAATGAGTTTGGCAATCTAAAATATGTACATGTCATCATTGACACTTATAGTGGCTTCATTTTTGCCACTCTCCAGACTGGAGAAGCTGCTAAACACATTATAGCCCATATGCTGTCAGCCTTCTCAGTTCTGGGATGTCCTCAACAGCTCAAGACCGATAATGGCCCTGGCTATACCAGCACCTCCTTTGCTCAATTTTGTAAAAGCCTTAATATCCTCCACACTACAGGTATACCTTACAATCCTCAGGGACAAGGCATTGTTGAACGTGCGCATCGTTCTCTTAAATTCACCATAGATAAAATAAAAAGGGAGACATGGTACCCCACCCAGGGGTCCCCTAGAAATGTCCTTTCACATGCTCTTTTTATTTTAAATTTTCTGACCCTGGATGCTTCAGGCTGCTCCGCAGCATCTCGGTTTTGACATACTCAGACTCAAACACGGTTTACATCTGTTTTATAGAGAGACCCACTAACCAATATGTAAAATGGCCCTGATCCAGTCCTTATCTGGGGACGAGGCTCAGTGTGTGTTTACTCTCAACAAGATAGAGAAGCTAGATGGCTACCTGAACGCCTCGTAAAGCAAGTAGACAGTTCTTCAAAGACCCCGTGTAACGCCCAGGAATAATGTTATTTCCTGAGGCACAATCCCCTGTGTTCTCTTACAGGTGACACATCTCCTTGGAGCCTTATACTGCTTAACCAGCCTTCTTGAGCCACACCACACCCATGGTGGATTTTGACCCCTGCCAAACAGACTGCAACTGCTGACAGCCATGCACGGAACCCCATGACTGCGGAAGAGGCTCTTCTCGGTCTAAAAAAACATACACCAGCCAAATAAACTACATCCAGTGTTATACAAGACATGCTCCAAGACACAAAAAAATGACTTCATACAGAGACACCAACAAATGACTGTCAACCCCTTCTCCTTGATTTTGGGGGGGGGGAGTTTTTCCCTTACCTAGTCCCACTTTTGGGTCCCCTAGCTGACCTATTGTTTCTCATTTCTGTGAGTCCTTGTATTTTTCAGAGGATTATGATGTTCATTAATAACCAGATAGACGCGTTTATGGCAAAGCCCATTCAGGTACACTATCATCAGCTAGAGTTGACAGATCAACAAACCTACAGAAAAAAAATTCCCACGAGTGGCCCATATGATGATGCGGCCTGACTGCCCTGGGACAATGGACAGGCAGTCAGAGACGGGCAACTAAAACATACATGTTAATTCCAACGGCCACCTAAGACAGACACAAGACCAACTGCTGTTCTACAAGCCCATGACGGGTAAGGCCTGGTTGGGTTCATACAATGAGGTCCTTGACCTAAGACAGACGCTGTCCTCACAGGGCCTGCCATACTCTTAATTAAATAATATAAAAAGGGAGGAGATGTAGGGAGCCGAGTGACAGGCACTGCTGCCTAGATGTCTCTCTCTCTCTCTCTCCTATGGGCACTGCGTCTGCCTACATTAACCATAATCCTCTTCTGCTTACGTCACTTATCCAGATGTGATGGTAACCCTGTTGTATTCATCTGTTTAACCTCTTCCTGTCCCAGCTCCCGCCCTTAGCCTATAAAAGGTGTGATTATTTTCTCAATAAACCAGAGGCTTGATTGGGTTAACATCAACTTGCCTTCGTCTCTTTTTGTCTCCCCTATGTCTTTTGTTTAATCCCCGTTTCTCCTCCAGGAGTTCTAAACTTGTTGATCTACAGGCCAGATCACGTACTAATCAACTGATGGCAAGAAGAGCAGAGAGTGTCATTAAATATCTAAAGAGCTCATTTCCCAAGTGATAAATGTGAAAATTTGGCTTCTTTCACTTCAGTGGTTGCTTATTGGAAACTAGAGATTGGATTCCTCACAAGCAAACCACACCGGGGGGAAATTTGTACTCATGAAACACACAGATCATGTATACTGATATATTTGCAATACATTCATTTCACTATAGAATTTATTTTTATTGGTGTGTTTATAAAACACAATACACTCATTTTGGGGAATTGGTATGTAATACCTTAATTTCCAAACAGTTTATAAACATTAATTTCAATTGCTCAACTAAATATTAACATTCATTAAAATTCCTCAGTTTTTCAAGGATCCTTTGAGATCTTTTACAAAATTCATCAGTTATTGCTTATAGCAGCTGAAGATTGCACACCTCTTTTTACAGCCTGGCCACTTAGGATTTAATGACAATTATTTATATTTGCAAAATGCATAAACTATTGAAGTTTATAAAATAGTGTTACAACCTGTCTTTATCGTTTGATCCTTAAGACAGTCCTGGGAGGCAGGAATAAATGTCTCACACATGAGGAAAATGGTGATGAATATATTCCGTAGGCTTTTGCTTCTAAATCAGTAAGAGTTAGTTACCAATAATCTTTTCAATGGTTGCGAAAGTAGACTAAAATTTGGTTTTTGTAAATGAAAGTTAGCAGGCAAGGAGACGAATCCAGCCTGGTGTGTTTGTGGTTAAACATGTGGTGCGGGGGTCGTTCTGCACGAGTTTCTCAAAGCTCTTGTCTCGTTCGCCCACACGTGGACAGCTGCAGTTCCAGATCAAGGAGAAACACAGTTATCCCTACATCGCCCTGCTTTACCAAGTATGGTATTATTTTTAGTTGCTGCTCTTTTGCTTTGTAATTATAAATTACTGTTTAAGTGTTGGGAGTTGTTTGGTTACAGTTACAGTGCAGAGCTCTGCCCATGTGTAACTACTGTATTCTCCGTCCCTTTCCTCCCAAGCAGACTGAGGCCTGTGTGCCCACTGGGCTGTTCAAATCAGCTACTTCCACACGGAAGGAAGCAGAGCCTCCCGGGTGAGAATGGTGGGATGGGTAGACCTTGGAGCCTCCAACAGTCCCTCAGTGACCAGTGTTAGAGACAGCAGCACCATGGAAGAAATGGTTGTCCTAGTTACTTTTCTCTCCTTGCTGGAACAAAATACCTGGCACCCCAGATGAAGGAAGGAGAGGTTTATTTAGCTCACAGTTTGTGGAGGTTTTAGTGCATAATCAGCTGGCTCCATGCCAGGTGGCACATGGCACTGGGGAGATACTTTAGGGAGGCAGAACACAGCAAAGCAGCAAGAGCAAAAAAGGGGGAAGAGCAAGCCTCCTCTCCTCCCTCACATCCCACACAGGCCACCCCCACTCCAGGGCGGTATAGCACTCACACCATCTCCCTGCCCTCCTCTTGCACAGGATGAGGATGTTTGCAAAGTGAGGATCCTGGCTCCTTGCTGAGTCTCTTGGTTAACCTTCTAAACTTCTCAAGTGGACACAAGTATCAGCCATAACAGTGGTCTCCTTACATAGGTGCCTCACAAAAGCAGTGAAATGATGACATTTTGTGTGACAGGAGGATTTAGGTGTGTGTCATGTTACTTTGGTTGGGGCCATTTTTTCCAGATACACTGTGTGATAAGTTTTCTACAGAGCCCAATAGTCATGGCAATTTGTTTTTGTTTTGAGACAGAGTCTTGCTATGTAGTTCAAGTTGACCTTGAGTTCACTATTGTAACCTAGGCTGGCCTCAAATTTGCAATGATCCTTCTGTCTCAGCCTCCCAAGATTACAGGCGTGTTCCACTGAGCCTTGGCTTTCAGATATGCTTGATGATAGTCTAATTAAGTGCAGCAATAAGTGTAAACCTAAATTATTAAAATGCCCTCATAGTAAGCGAATTACTGCAGCAGGTTTGTTCTCTCAGGGTAAGACCTCTGAGTCTAAGTAGCTCACCCAGGGATGGGGAATTCACACTTGACTAGTAACCCAGTTGTCTATTTCTGAGTTATAAAAATATATTCATATGTAATAATCCTATTTGTGAATTTTTCACACACATAGATTCCTAAGTGTATTAAGTATTACTTAGTATTAAGAGCAATCTGCTGGCTCTTAAACTTTGTGAAATCCATTTATGAAAATTTCCTGAATCATACTTTGTTAATTTGTTTTTGTAATCAAGATGACTAAGAAAATAATTTCAACTGTGTAAATAAACTTATGTGTCATAAGAAAAAGGAGGAGGAGGAGAAGGGAGAGGAATAGGAGGAGGACCCCCTGTCTTTGGGAGTGTCGAGGTGGGGAATCCTGGTGTTTGTGTGGCTGCAGGGCCTCTGCCTGCATCTCCAGTTCCCAGGAAGAACCTTGGGGATGCCACATATTTGTAGGAAGGCGCTGAGATTTTTGCATGAATTCCGGCTTTCTCTCTGTGACTGTGAAATAATGGAATTGCAATTTTCTGGACCAGAGCCACAGTGAAGCTGGTACGGAAATGCATAAAAGTAAAATTCTATGGCTTCCCCTACAGCCATGATTTCTTACATGCGCCTAAGAGCTCTAACACAGAGAGATTCGCCAGTCTAAGGGAAAAATGAGACCCAGGGAGCTGCTGTGGTGCAGATTGCAGTCCTGGGACAGGCAGTGGTTAGAGCTCTGTGTCCCCAGCCAGGGCTCACTGTTAATTTAAATCGAAGTTTTACTTACTTTTTTGGGGGTGGGTACCAGAAATCGAACTCAGGACCTTATGCTTGCCAGGCAGGCTCTTGTGACAGTGAGCTATGTCCCTAGCCCTTTACTTACTTTTTGAATAGGGCAAAATCTTCATTCACATGGTTCAAAAACTGCAGAAGAGTGTAATGTAAAAGTCTTTCCATTCTGTTCCTCAACCATCCAGTCCTCCTTGGAAGTGAATAGTGCTGTCATTAAAAAAATATGTTTCTGGAAGTATTTTAGGCAGATGCAGACAAATATGTGTGTAGACATTGTTCTCCCATCTTTCCACACAAGCAATCGCACATTCACAGGGTTTTGCATTGCTCGTGTGCATGCAC